CTAGCGCAGACTAGCCCCCCCCCCCGTGTAGTTTTGCGCGAAATCTATAACAAACAAACAAACTCAACAGAGCTCAGATATTGCGGTAACATAGCTCTTTTGTACGTTTAAATGGAAAGATATAGTTAGCATTTATGTTTTTAAGCCTATTTTCGTAAAAATCCTTGTTTAAAACTAGAAATCTTTGTTTATAACGAAAAAAAAAGCAACCGGGAGACAATTATTTTGCGCAAAATTTAACAAACAAACAAGCAATTAAACTAATTATTATTTGTATTGAAACACAAAGAAACACACTAAAGAACAAAATGTGCCCGATGAGCAGAGAAATGTCAATCTGGTGCAAAAAGGAAATTACCAGAAACATTTTGAATGGAAAATTCAGGATTTGTTGTGAAACAGCATAGAGACGAACTAGGATTGTCAAATACTAACAAATATCTCATATTGATGATAAAACTTATTTTAATCAACAGAAAACAGTTTGACGTCCCTGTTGTCTAGATACATCACAGATATACATACTGGAAACTTTCATATGTTTCATTACAACGCTATAATCAAGACTTCGATTACCTTCTGTGGACACAGCAGTTAGCACACTGTGGCTTTACTATAATAATAATAAAAAAACATAAGAAAGTATTCTGAAACATTTACGGAAAACAAAATTCTTATTTTGTTAAACACATTTGTAAGAAGAAATGATTCTTCTCTCTCCAGAAATCGAACTTTGACTCCCCAGCAGGTTCGCTGTTGCTTGATTACACTATCAACCAGCGGGTTCGCTGTTGCTTGATTACACTATCAACCAGCAGGTTCGCTGTTGCTTGATTACACTATCAACCAGCAGGTTCGCTGTTGCTAGATTACACTATCAACCAGCAGGTTCGCTGTTGCTAGATTACACTATCAACCAGCAGGTTCGCTGTTGCTAGATTACACTATCAACCACCAGGTTCGCTGTTGCTAGATTACACTATCAACCACCAGGTTCGCTGTTGCTAGATTACACTATCAACCAGCAGGTTCGCTGTTACTAGATTACACTAACAACCAGCAGGTTCGCTGTTACTAGATTACACTAACAACCACCAGGTTCGCTGTTGCTAGATTACACTATCAACCACCAGGTTCGCTGTTGCTAGATTACACTATCAACCACCAGGTTCGCTGTTGCTAGACTACACAATCAAGATGCAACGTTTTGACTTTCCTCTCACATTTATGTAATATCTGCTGGTTTTAATAAATATTTCCATTTGAAAAGGGCGGTATAATACAATTTTATTCATTTAACTTTATTAAGTGTCAGTTTATAAGATTAGTGACATTTGACAAAATAGTGCCGAGAACTTTACCAAGTAATGTTAATATGATTTTTTATCACTCTGGACATACATACCTTCCTCTCAAAATATTTGATAATTATTGATAATCTTGTAAATTCTCTTAGGACCAATATCTACAAAAATGGTTGGACGTCTTTAAAGAGGTTTTCGAAAGGGGTTTCGGCTAATCGAAATTCTAGTCGTGATACCAGATAATTTTCTTCTTCTTCTTCTGTATCCTCAACTTACTTTTGTTATTTCTTATGAGAAAATAAGTGGTTTTCAATGACACATTATACATAACTATCTCTGAAAAGAAAGGAATTGCTCATCTGTAAAAGCCAATTTCGTTTCATCTTACGCATCTTTCGTGACATTAAATTTTTACTTTTCACCCTTATATTTTGTTGTATCTCTTAGCGACGCGTTTGTATGTTGTTGGCCATACAATTACCATCATTTTACACAAAACAAAATTATTATAAGATTGCTCTGATGCTTAAATATATTGATGATTATACCTATCACATACTCAACTTGTCAAATTGAACGAATTTCACAAACGATCCCTTTCTCTACACATATATCTTTAATTAATAGAGTGGCGCTGTAATCCATATCCAGCGCGAAGTTTTGACATGATAGCATTGTTGATTTCGTTCAATGTCTACCCAGCTCTGTTATATATGTTTCGATGTGTCTTATAAAAAAAAAAAGTATTGGATTTATCAGGTATAAATCATAAAATACTACTTACGAACACAATTCAACGGGTTTTCAGGCTTATCGCACTTTGGCAGAAGTCATCGAAGACAAACGTGCTTCTGGAAAAAAGCGTAACGGCTGTGCTCTTGTAGGAACAAAGAGTAGCTCAGTGGAACAAAACTTCATCTTATTTCGACATAATCTTCATATATATATATATATATATATATATAGACATATTAAAGCTACCGTTTTGGTTCTTGCCATACTTAGATATTTTCGCATTATTTATTCACTATGTACGAAAAACTTTTTTGCACACGGAACTGTGTGACACACAATCTATTCAATGTCATCGTTCAGATATTTCAGTTACAGGCTGTGAGAATATTTTAGGATCAGAGTGATATTTATGTTGTTTCCCTACAAACTTACATAAGTATGTTTATTGCTTGTGAAGGATGTTACTGTATTCCCTGTTTTCACACACGATCCTACAAACTTACATAAGTATGTTTATTGCTTGTGAAGGATGTTACTGTATTCCCTGTTTTCACACACGATCCTACAAACTTACATAAGTAT